CAAAAGAAAATCCATTGTCGAGCGCATGTATGAATATTGGTTGGAACCCAAATGAAGAAAGCCAAATGATCCCTACAAAACCATTGAGGATCATATGTTTGAGGATATGAACTTACAAGTGATTTGCCATGCTTGTAAAGGCCCTCACTATATGTATCAATGCCATAAGTACATTTATTGCAAGAGATGTAAGGCGAAGTTCTCATGTGAATGTAGGGACAAACATCGTAGGGAGGATGGAATTAATCAAGGGTGCAATGCCAACCTTCAAGGCAAGTACGGGTTGAGTAAAGAACACTTTGGCATCGACTAGGCGTTTGGGGATCATAGTTGTGCTGGATTAAAGTATAGAGGATGGTATTAGAGTAACTCCAATGGTTGATCATGGTGCGCATAACTGTGGGAAACGAGTGAGCTCCAAATTCCCCTTGAAGGAGGTCATTTAAGATATAAGGGAGATGGAGCAAGAGATTCCCGTAAGTGAAGAGTTGCAAGGCCAATATAAGGAAAATCAAGACGAGGGATATGAAAATGAATTTGAAGAAGAGAATGATGAGGAGATGGAAGTAGCGTGGGAGGATGAAGAGCCTGGTGGTGACACTTTTGAACCGTCAAATGGTAAGTCTCTTGATCATGGTTGTGGTAGCACTACTCTTGGTAATAATGGTGCTAAATCATGGGAGATATGTGTGATGATGAAATTGCTTGTGATGATATTGGTGTGACTATTTGTGTTGATAATTGTAATATTGATTGTGTGGGTGTTTGCATAGAATATTGTTGTTGATGAGAGTTGTGAAACTGTGAATGATGATAAGGATGCGAAATTGGATATCTTAGAGGAAGGGGAATGTGAAAAGGGAGTTGATGTGAGTGTTGATAATGTTGATGAGAGTGAAAAGGTTATAGAGGAAAACATGTCATTTGAGGAGAATAATTGCAAAATCAATGAATAAGATGGTGATATTGAAAGGACCAGCAGAGGGGTGAGTGTAAAAGAGAAAGTTGGAAAAATGTGAAAGAAGGAGAGAAGAGTGTAAAAGAGAAAGTTGGAAAAATGTGAAAGAAGGAGAGAAGAGGAAGGAAGAAGAGATGAAGGAGGAATGCAAGAAAACGTTTGAAGAATATGGCATATTCTTGAAAGTAGATGATTGCCTACCTTGAAAGGAGGATATGTCGAGTATGTGCTTTAAGGGGTTTGTGAACACCTGATACTTGAAGAGTTGAGGCGTATCTTGAAGAGCGAGGGGATGGGGAGAAAACACTAGTTTCCATCCAGGTGTTCAAAGATGGGTTGTTGAAAGTTGCATCGAGCCAATGATGTTAAACGTGGTGCTTCTTGAGAGGCAATCCAAGATTATCTTAATTTTTTGTTGTTCTTCTCTTTTCCATGGTTTTTAGTGATTTTTCATGTGTGCTAGGTAACCTCTTGTTGGTCCAGGATTTTATTAGAGGAGGAATTTTGGTGGAATCGCAAGCAAAAGAGGAGGGAAATACCACGCAAGTCATCACGTGGTGATTACCCACGTGGATAGCAGAAACATCCATTGGGTTTTACATGTCACGAAGGCTACCACGTGGTGATTACCCGCGTGAGAAGGAAAATCTGGGACCACCCTCTACTAATCACTCTAGACACCACAGCGTGGTGGCCCGCGTAATTGACAGAGGCAAGTCGTCACATGGTGATTACCCACGTGGATAGCAGAAACATCCCTTGAGTTTTACTTGTCACGAAGGCTATCACGCGGTGACTACCCGCGTGAGAATGAAAACCGGGGACCACCCTCTACTAATCACGCTAGCCACCATAGCGTGGTGGCCCACGTAATTGACAGAGGCAGTGCCTCAGTTTCCCCCATCACGAGACCTCACGACGCGGTAATAGGCCTCGTCACACGGGGCACTACTGTGTGACGCAGCTCATACATGTGGTACATGTCCCAACTCGGGTATTTAAACATTTTTTCCCATTTCACGAACCCTACCTCTCTTTATCACGAAGTATATACCATTTTTCACCCAAAAAAAAAAAAACTCTCTCAAATCTCCTAGTTTTAAAGTTTTCCATCCTTACCCACTCTCCCAATCAAGGTAACTCTTTCTCTATTTACTTTGAGTATATTCTTCATTCTCATATTTCTTGTGCAAGTGAATATTTTGTATTTACATGCTTGTGAGTTGGTTGAATGAGTTGCTTGTTCAATATAAATGTGTAGTTTGCCTACAAACTGCTTAGAAGAAGATTCTTGAATGTTGAGATGCCTAACCCTAGGTTGTTCAATTTGGGGGAAAATTGATGAATGTTTGAAATGCTTGAATGATGAATGTTTTTAATTGAATGTGATTGTAAGACTACTTGGATGTATGATTAGGATACTCATGATATGATATTTAAATTTTATTGCATATCCAAGTAATTGTTGAGTGCTTGAAGTGGACAAAAAAATGAAGAATGAATTGATTTTTGGTGTGCGAATTATTTAAAAATTGTGTTAATTGACTTTTGTTTAGTTGAGTTCGCATCCATGATAATTGAATTAAGATATATTGAATTGATTGTTGAGGTGTTGAACTTGTGAAAATTGTCTTGATTGAATTTATGGATGGAGATAAGATTTTTATGAGTACGGCTAGTGGGTGTTGAATCGTTTGGCAAGTGAGGCATGTTGAAAAGTGATTATATTTGAATGTCTTTTGAACCCTTTTGGATTATGGATTGCATATATGTGATGTTGGAGGATTGAGTGGCATACTTAGGGATGTTAATTATGCTAGTTTGGGGATGATGATGATATTGTAATGTCCCTTTGTGTAATGATGTGGTGCATGCTTTATACACTCTTTGCTTTAATCTGATGTTCTTTACCTCATGTTGATTCATCTTTCCTGTGTGTTTAGCCTTGACTTTTGAAGGTTGATTTCTATGGACCGGATGCTTTGAATTGCCCTAACTAGGCATCATGGTCTCGTGTAGATGATGGTGCACACCAAGAATCCATCGCAATTAACTTCTTCAAAAAGCACACGGTTCAAAAGTGGTGAATCAAATAGGGCACATGACCCGTCTAAGGATGAGATAGATGTTGAGGGAGAAATGTAGCTCTACCAAGAAGATGAGGAGGATTCACAAGAAAGGCTACCCGAAGAGACTCTTGTAGAGAGATTGGCATACCAGGAATTTCATGACCAAGGGAGAAAGTGCAAAATGGTGATGCATTAGGCCTTGAGGGATTGATTAGTCAGCCTAAGTGGAACATCCTATTTGGATAGAGGGAGCCCACATATTACCCCGGTTGTGCACGAGTTCCTGCCTTCCCTAAACCTCACGAGGACTTCACGTGACCGAAACTTGTCGTCCATCAAGTTTATAATCTTCAATAAAGCACTTGGGCACAGACTGGGTTTTACATAACCCGAGAGTTGAAGAGCCAGACATACAGGGACCTCCATACCAACTTCTCGCAAAATCCCGAGATTGCTAGGCCCGAAGTGGCGTGGTGATAGAGTTGGCAAAACAGGTCAGTCCGGCCCATACGGGCTGGCTCGTCTCGAGTTTGTCCAGAATTGGTCGAGCTAATTCGTTTTTCTTTTTACATAGTTTGAGAAAATCTCAACCTAACCCGTGGTTGGATGGACTGGCGGCCTAGCATTTATTAATATCTTTTAATTTGTGTTAAACTTTTTGAGTTTTTGCATAGCCCAAGAATCCAAACTCCTAAAATCTAAGTTAACAATTAACAATATTTACGATCAAACACATTAAACTTTAATTAGATTTTAATTTTTAATATATAATTAAAATTTAAATTTAGTACTAATATAGTTTACATGTAATATTTTTATTTTGTAATTATAATATTATTAAGTTATAAATTTTATAAAAATATATAATTTATAACTATATATATTTTATATAATAAATAAATTTTATATTAATATTTATAAAAAGATACGGAGTACAATTTATTGTATTAATATTTATATAAAGATACAATTTATTGTATTAATTAATACTTATAATAAATGTAATATAAATAAGTTATGTATATTTTTTTTTGAAAACAATAAGTTATGTATATAATGTTTGTGGATGATCTAAATAAATATATAATAATATAAAGTTGTTCAGCAAGTGTTTTTAGCATAATTGATTTTAATATATCAACAATAATTTAAAATATTAAATATGAAGTTATACATTTATACATTCTCACGAGTTATACGGACCGGGTTAAAGAATCTTCAACCTAACATACCTAGAAACGGATTAAATGGGCTCAATTCAGACCCGTTTTGACAACTCTAAATGCAAACAAGATGTATATACTTTATGGCAAATTATATTATGCACCGCGGTGCATAATCGATTATGCACCGCGCGTCTTTTTTTTTTTAAATGAAAATTAACAGTGTTTATTTCCGCCGTTTCGCACCCTTTTGCAAAAAGTAACTCTGTTATTCAGTGTCATTTTGTATACACTGCAGTTTCAGTTGAACAGAACTACAGTTTCATTTCGATATAACTATAGTTTCATTCGATATTTATAGACTCAAATATGTGAAAATGTTATTTAATTTTATTTTATATACACTATAGTTTCATTAAAATACAACTACATGATCATTTTGATATAATTACAGCTTCATTGTACAATATACACTCAAATATGTGAAATGTTATTCAGTTTCAGTTTATATACACTGCAGTTTCATTTCACTATAACTACAGTATCATTTTGATATAACTGCAGTGTCGGTTTGAATATACTGTAGTATCAGTTGATGTTTAATATACCAAACAAACGGACTCCGTTAACTCTAACAGCGGGCCATTTCTTTACTTAAAGAAACGGCGTCGTTTTTGACCGCGGTGCACATGCACCGCGGTCTATAATATTACGACTGATACTTTATAATACTCGAATCTTTTAAAGTAGCATTAGTAGCGGCTTCATCATCGGTCTAATACAAGTGTATATTAGGGGCAAAGTGAATGTGGCAGAGAGAGCAGGTGGCGGGATTCATGCATACAAACGCTTTCCCTCTTCCAGCGCCGCTCAGCTCGTAGCTCTCTCTCCATCACGAGAAAGCTTGAGAGAGCAGCATCTTCCATATCTTCCTCATCATCAATCAATGAATTCCTTTTTCGTTACTCTTTCTTTTCCCCTCAGAATAATAATTCGTTTTCATTTCCGGAATTTTTAATCATTGCTTTGCTTTGCTTCCCAAGTTTCGCTTTTCTGGATTTATTCAATTCGTTCCATGGATCTGGTCTCGTTCTCGGTGAGTTTTCTACTGCCTCGTAGGGCTCTGTTTTCCTGCAATTTCGGAAATTTCATTTTGAATTCTCCTTCTTTTTATTTAGAGAGATTTGTGTAGGTTCCGGAGCTGTAGATCCCCAGCGAGCTGCATTTGTGTGTTGTTCGACGTTCAGTAGTGGAGATCATTTGGACGGGAGGAGTGGTTTTCAATCATGAAGAAGTATCCGATCGGGCCGGAGAATTATGTTCTGTGTGAGGAGATAGGCCATGGAGTCAGTGCATCTGTTCATCGCGCTCTCTGTGAGCCGTTAAACGAGGTCGTAGCAATCAAAATCCTTGATTTCGAACGTGATAATTGTGATCTGGTAATTCCTTTTGTTCTATACTCGTTTTGTTTTCTGAAATTCCAAATGTTTATACTCTGCTGGCTTGATTGGTGATTTGGTGCCGCACATATTGCTAATTTCGGAAGCTGCATTTTAAACTTGAATCTTGATGTCCGAGTATACGCCACCTACTAGGCTCTTTGGTCACTGTTTGATTGCATTCCAGGCCACTATTTAATCTTTGGCTGTGTTTATTATTCAGAAAAATTCTCAATTGTTCCGAAAATAAAAAAAATGCATTTAAGAAAAACTGGCAAAAGAAAATGGAGAAATGAAAATTGAAAAATTGAAATAAATGCAGCTTGCTTCTTAAAATGTGAAAGATCTATAAAAATGAATAAGGGAAACTTGTTGAAAACTAATGCTTGCTCAAAACAATACAGAGAAGAAGAGAAAAGGAGAGGAAGATTTCATTTTGTTCAATGTTTCTACATATTTGATAAGAGTAAAGAGACAGGATCAAGAAATCTAGGAGATCATGATATCGAAAGTAAAACCAAAGGAAAGAAAAACAAGGGAATTCAAAGAATATCCCTCCAACAAGAATAAATTCTTGCCCACCGCTACTTAGAGCTAATTGTTCCAATTCGACTGGATGCCCCCTCTTCTAAGAGATGGTCCCTATTTATAATCTATTACCATATGTAAAATAAGGTAGGAGCATCAATTACTGATTACATAATTATTCAATCCCTAATTATACTCTCCATAAAATCAGTCAATCCCTTATTCTATGCTTCCTTGAATTCTATCACTAGAATGATTTGATAACTTTCCTTTCCTGCCTGATTTGTATCAATATTACAACAATATATATATATATATATATATATATATATATATATATATATATATATATATATATATATATATATAATATACATTTGTAACCGAAAGCAATAATGATAAACATAAATCTTCGACCGTTAGATTCCATTTTGTTCAACTTTTCTACATATTAAAACTAAATTTAAGAAGCTTCTTGGTTAATAGCATTTTTTTTTTGTCTAAATTAAAATAAACTGAAAAGGGAAAATAACTATTGAAAAGTATATATATATATAGTTTCTATCACTAAGTGGACAATGGAGAACAGTGCTATACTGCTATGATATTGAGATGGTTTATAGATTCATAGTTTGTCCTTTATTCAGAGAATATTTTTGATGGTATCAGGTTCATTTTGCATGCCCATGTGGCCATGACTTGCCTAACCTTGTATAGAAAATCACATGCCTTGTACCGAAACATCATTTTCTTGTTTCTGCATGTGTGTGCAGTGTGTATATACATATCTTTGTACTTGTCTTATTTAGTGTTCATTCATCATATTGACTTATCTTTCTTTACTTCTTTTGACAATTTTTTAAAATCAATATTTGTGCCTACTTCCTTGAATGGCCAAAAAAAAAGCACTTACAAACTTTCAAGTGAAAGAGCTCTAATTTCTCGCACCTCCATTGAAGTCTAAAGACCTAGCTCTTTCTCTACTTAAAGAAGAAAAAATCAATTAATTAGGTTCACAAATAGTTCAATTTTTGCCTTTTTGGACATATTTTTTCTCCTCCTTCCTTTTAGTCATTCATATTAAATATGTGTCGAAGTGTTACTTAGAAGAGGATGGAACATTTAAGTTCATTTTTATTTTGACTCCAGAGTAATGTCTTCCGGGAAGCGCAGACAATGGTCTTAGTAGACCATCCCAATGTTCTAAAATCTCATTGCTCTTTTGTTAGCGATCACAATTTGTGGGTTGTCATGCCTTACATGGCGGGCGGTTCATGTCTTCACATATTGAAGGCCGCTTATCCAGATGGTTTTGAAGAAGTTGTCATTGCCACCATATTGCGTGAAGTATTAAAGGGCTTAGATTATCTTCATCATCATGGCCACATTCATCGAGATGTGAAAGTGAGTATTAAAATTATTCTAGCAAATGGCTGTTGTCTGCATATCTTTTATTATAATAATATTGCATTTCCTAAGCTGTTAACAGAGTCATAATCAAAACCGAAAAAAAAAAGTCTTGTATTAAATTTGTAAACAGTTATTCATTTAATACAACAATGGATATTTCCACAATCTAATGACACTTAGTTGACATGAATGGAGTAATTGTTTCACAAGTAATGTTGGAATGTTTTTACAATAGTTATTTGGAAATTTTCAGGCTGGAAACATTCTCATAGATGCCCGGTGTGGAATTAAGCTTGGAGACTTTGGTGTGTCTGCTTGCTTATTTGATTCAGGTGACAGAACACGCATGAGAAACACATTTGTTGGTACTCCTTGTTGGTAAGCTCTTCATAGACCTAATGTTTGCGAATATACTACAATTATCTTTGGCCGAACTAGTCATGGGGTTTCTAATTTCAGAATGTGGCAAGCTTGGATAAATATTTACAAATTTCATGCTTATCATTTTCTTTTGAAAAAGATCTTGATGTTCTTGATCAAGTTGTGCCTTGTGAATGATTATTTTCATCACTTATTCTTTGCAATGGGAATTAAGTGAAATCACATATTTTCATTTCTTTTTATAACACTATTAACTATTAATGGGTCTATTATTCAGGATGGCACCAGAGGTTATGGAGCAATTGCATGGTTATGATTGCAAGTATGTGAAATTGAAATTGTCTTTTTTTTCTACATGAGTATTTATATCTATATGTATAATTTTTCTTTTCCATTCATGATCAGGGCAGATATTTGGTCTTTTGGTATAACTGCTTTGGAGCTTGCCCATGGACATGCACCTTTCTCAAAGTATCCTCCAATGAAGGTGCATTGCCACATCAAAATGATTTTAGTTTCATTTTTATAGTTCCTTTTAAATTCTTTAACTAAACCTTAACTATTCACCAGGTGTTGTTAATGACATTGCAAAATGCACCTCCTAGTCTTGATTATGAAAGAGACAGGAAGTTCTCCAAGGTATTTTCTCAAGAAACATTGTATAGGAGTATTATGGAATGATATCATTGACATGTTTGTTTCTTGTACATTTTTTTAGTCTTTTAAGCAGATGATTGCTAGTTGTTTGGTAAAAGATCCTTCAAAAAGACCTTCAGCAAAAAAGTTGTTGAAACATTCTTTCTTTAAGCAAGCTCGCTCAAATGATTATATTGCAAAAACATTGCTGGATGGCTTGCCAGCTCTGGGTGATCGGATTAGGGCTTTGAAGGTTACTAGTGATGTTTAAATTTATTTCCCTTTTTCTATTGGACTAAACTAATAGTGATCTTTTTCTCACTTATCAAATGTAGAAGAAAGAAGAAGAAATGTTGGCGGAAAAGAAAATACCAGATGGACAAAAAGAAGAAATGTCACAGGTTTGATTTCCTACAATCCTTATTCAAACTAAAAAGTAAACAAAGAAAGTGTCTTGCATTCAAATAATGCTTCAGCAGCCAGAGTTGATCCTGTAAGAGCAATAGACATGTGGTTCTTATTTATTCATGTGTATATTAGTGGGTATAAAGGTGGTTAAGTGTTTATTGGCTGTTCTGAAGAGTGTTACAAAGGGAGAAGTAATTACACCATAAGGGTTTTTTGTTTTTTTGTTTTTTTCTTCATATATGTTTTTTCCTTCTATCAGATTTCGCTGCAGTTTGTAATACTGGAATGAGGAAGAAATTCCTACTACCTGTATAGACTTTGCAATGCTTATAGCTTAGTGTAATCTTGGGTGTCAAATATAAGCTTCACTTCTTTAACCCTAATTTCTACCCTTTGTATTGCATTTACGAAAAAACAAAATGCAACATTTCATGATGTCCTATATGCCTTCCTAAATTTAGCCCATGACAGTTGGAAATGCTTTCCTTAACTCCATGCCTACTATTTGATACTCCATATCAAACACAGCCTAATTTTTGTGTTTCAAGCATTTACAAATATCCTCATGCCAATAAAAAGATTGTCATTTACTGAATCAACATACTAAAACTGCTGCAATGTCAGGAATATCAATAATCTTATTGAAATAAGTTCCATTAGCTTAACTGAACATGGTAATTTAAATCTGTGCTTTAGTGAAACATCCTTTAAGATTATTTCATATATCTTACTTTTGCCTGATTTCTTCTTGTCAAAATTTGCATATGTCAAATTTGACATTAAACAAACAAAGAGGATTTACATTTTAGGCCATGATAGTTGCATGCTTCTCTTCCTTTCTCTCTCTCTCTCTCTATCCCTTTCTCTTTCCTGGTTTAGTAGATGCTTCTTTTAAAATCCTAAAACTTTTTGCAGTAGAATAGTGAGTTTTTTTTTTTTTTTTTTTTTTTTTTTTTTTCACATTGTAGTTCTGTAGCATTTCATATGCTTCACAAATATGTGCAGAATGAGTATAAGCGTGGGATAAGCAGCTGGAACTTCAACCTTGATGATCTAAAGGCTCAGGCTTCTTTGGTATAGTAAATAATTCTCTTCTCTACTCAATGTGCATATTTTTAACATGGCTGAAAATATCCCTAGGCGCTCGTGTATTTTTTTAATTTTTTTTTTAAAATTTTAAACAATTTTATTTTTTAAAATTTTTTTAAGACTTGATAATTATAAACTATTTAATACTTTAATAGTTAATACTAAAATATTAAATATTGGCCTAAAAAATATCTAGGGTTTGAACGATTTAGAGTTATTTCCTCAAAAACGACGTCGTTTTGAGTGAAATAACCCATTAAAAAAAACAAATAACGGAACAATAGCTAATTGGCCGACTAGGTGGCCTAGTCGGCCGCCTAGACCACCGATTATGGTGATAGGCTAGGCGACCGGCCGGCGCTTAGGCGCTATTTTTGCAACACTGATTTTTAATAATCTTATTTAGTGCTAACAAGAAAGGGATGTAAAAATCTTATTTATGAACTTTTAGAATGATATCTATATCTATTTCTTACAATACGGTATTGTTTTCCTCCTTTTCACCTGTCAGATCCCAGATGAGGAAGTTATTGCTGATAAGGATCCTGTTGGGAGCTCAAATTTACCTGGAGGGCTCGACAACAGTGGAAAACAACTTCAACGCCAGCTCTCTTCAGCTAACCTAGTTCCAAAACTTCAATATCAGTTTTCGTTTTTAAGTCAAAATTCAGACAGCACAGAGATTGTATGTAAATTCTTTCTTTTTCTGATATTATGCTGTTTTAGGGCTTTCCCCCTAATATGACATATACACACATATATATTCCCAGGATGAAAACAATCCATCTGCTCCTCTTTCACCTTGTGACACTAGTCACACTACGCCAGCTTTTAACATGTATGTTGCCCTCTTCTCACAGATCTTAACAATTAATCTTTTGTAACATTTGAGGCAACAACCTTACAGTCAGATATATTATATAACTGCATAGTGATTTTGCATAAGCATGTTGGGTGTCATCCATCTTCTACATTGGCATTTTGTTGTCCAGAATGTGCATAATTGGACTTATACTTTGCAGAGCTAAATGTGAAAAATCAGATCATGATGATGTAAGCGTTGCTACTGAAATTCATGACACCCAAAACTCAAGAAGTTCTCTTTCCTACAATCACGTGGAAAAGCATTTACTTGGAAAACCTGAATTTGAGATTGATGGAAAATTCTCTGATAGCCCACCTGTAAATTCACGGCAAAGGTATATAAGCAAATTTTTTCATATTCTTTCTTGAGATGTTTGATTTCATGTATCTAAAATATGTGGTGTACGGATTTTCCCTCTTTGCCAAGTAGTGGTTGCATATTGTTATCAATAATTCTCTTTGTGTAGCATTTTGTATACATTAGAAATATTCATTTCCTAATAGTTTCAGGGATAAAATTCAACCTCTAAACATATCAGCTTGCAATGGAGTTTTCTTTCATCAAATAGTAGAAGATATGTCAGCTGAATCTGCTAAACCACCATTGAGAACAACAGGTATACTATTATTGTACTTTTAATTTATTCACCTTTTGGGTTTTAAAACTATTGGTCTTAGTTTATTCAACTTTTGGGTCTTAAAACTATTGGTCTTAATTTATTCACCAACTGGTTTCTCTCATGTACACTGCATTACGTTTTTTATATTGATTATGATGAATATTTATAGAATCACAAAATAATTACTGTAGGAAAGGGTGAAGAGTTCAGTGAGAAGACAAAAGGCCATCGTGTTCAACAAAAAGGACGTTTCAAAGTTACATCCGAGAAAGTTGACTTAGAAATGGTGAAATATAACATCTGAGTTTTCTCCCATACAAGTGAACAATTTCGAAATTGCTTTTGAACTTTTTTTTTTTTTTTTCCTGTAGATTTGTCCATCTCCAGGGTTACAGAAAAGCCACAGCATGGCGGTTGGTCATCTTTTGATCCACTTTTTTTTGTTTTTTTTTTTTTTTCCATTAATCCAAAATGATGATTATAAGATCCTTTTCCATGTTTCTAAATTGAAATGTGCTTAGCAAGTATTTGGAGATGAGACTGAAAGAGTGTCTTACTGAATTACTTGCCTGATCATATTTCAATTTGTGTGCTTGATGCATGGTTTGAAACGCATGCAGGTGATTGCGCAACATCCATCTATATCTCACTCATTGACAACAGATACCATGTCTCAAAATCTTCCTTCTCATTCGTTTCTTCCAGTATTGCAAAATATGTTGAATGCAAATATTACTGAAAGGGTAGGAACTTAATTACCTGGAATTTATGACGCGTATTATTATTGTCTTTGGAGGGTTACGATCATTTCTTTTGACAGGAGAACATTCTTAACTTAATGAGGCAAGCCTCTGCTGGAGGGACAACAGGTATAAGCAATGAAATGCCCCTTGAATTTGCATTTATGATCTATATATATAAATATTTTCTTAATTTAAGCATCCGGCCAATCGTGCAGTGGATGGGGTAGAGCTTTTGTTGAACATGCCATCGGCAGACAAATCATTGGTATGTGACTTTCATTATTCTTGCTGGTTCTTTATTTTATTATCGTAAAAATTGTCCGAGTGTTGCAAATTGTTGGGAAAATGGCGAACTATATTTTCTCCGCCAGCATAATGAAAGCCTTGAGATATCTGAGCTCTAATTTACACCTCGCCTGCCAAAGTTTGCTTAGATTTCATTAAAACATCAGAGCACTTACATCCTTTCTCTAATCATTTCTTCTGTTAAAGAATATATGTTTTTTCTTTGCCAATTCTCAGTCTTTGTTAAGTTCCTACAGATTGCACCATTTGCCCTCATATTAACATCTCGCGAATTTCCCATATCATTTGTAGTTGGTGACAGCTCATGATAGGGAGAAGGAGTTACTACATGAAATAACCGATTTACAATGGAGGTAAGCATTGATATACGCTGGTATGATAAATATATAATGTCAATGCTAAAACCTATCCCGCTTCCAATCTTTGGCTTTTCTTGATCTGCTTTCTGTAGGCTCGTTTGCACCCAAGAAGAGCTTCAGAAGTACAAAACACAAAATGCGCAGATTAACTCTTGATTGAGGATGTTATGCGAGATTGGGTGTGTTTGAAGTGAAAGAAGTTGCATCCCGCGAATGACCAACTCTTCCTTGCAGAATAACTTAATCAGGATTCAGTATAATGGAGTGCATTGTAAGGGAGGCATGACTAGTTTAGCAGCATTTCATTGTTATTTGTACAGTTTTCTCCCCCCTAATAGGTGATGAGATTGTTTTTTTATATGATCTCAACTGATATCTGAATAGACTAATTAGAGCTGTGCTCTTGTACATGCTATCCTATTCCCTTCAAAGGATTTTTACCCTTTTTGTTATTATTATTATTATTATTATTATTATTATTATTATTATTATTATTATTATATTATTAAGGTTGAAGAGTAATATATTCCGAATGGCAGGGAACTGTGCTTCTCTGACAAATTTTGGGAGGATTCAACCATTCACGAATCTTTATTAGATTGCATTGAAAATATTTATTAGGTAATTAATAATTACGGAATATAATACATTTTATTATTATTTGAAAAAAGAAAAGCAAACTAGAGAATATAAATTATAAAATGAAAAAAAGAATTTAGAATTAAGTAGTATTAAATTTTGAGTGGAATTATGAATGCAAGAGCTGGATGAGGAAAAAGGGGAATACTAAGGGATCGCTTTGGAAAAATAGAGAATTGAAGAAGTGGAAAATGAAAAATAAAAAATTTATTTATTAAAATCATTTCTCCAATTGCCTAACTCCACTCCTTTCTCCAACCTTATATATAATTTTGGAGAAAGTCTTGGTTGGATGCAATATAATGGCCTAGGTATAGGAAGTAGTGTAATGCATTGATCGTGATTCTTGGAAGATGTTTCCATTGCCAAAGCCACTATCGTGGTTTATTTGGCCTATCAAGTAGTAGAACCCTACTCTCATGGCAACCCTACTACTTGAGACATTTCATCGAGCACCTTAAGTCCACATCTTCTTCCGAGCTTGTCTCTCGACGTAAGGTGGGAATTGCAAGTGGAATAGGTTATAGTATAGTTCCAATCTCTTGGTAACTACACGCCTCCAAAACCTATTGCATGATGTGGCCATCACCATACAATAGTCTATACAAAGTCCCCTTCCAACAAGAATCAAGTCAATAAAGTCATTTCTTAATTGCAATCAAAACATTATAGCATCCTAACAAGTAAACCTAATCCTAATTCCCTAAGAATTAGCTACACATTGTCACAATTGCATAGCTACAATGAAAAATCATGGAAACATTTGAAAGAAAAGTAAAGTAAATTGCAATTGAAATGAACACTTAACTTTGTAAGCACAATCTTCAACCTCCAAACAATTCTTTAACAATTGTAATTGGAATCCCCCTAGAATCCTTAGATCATGTTAAGTTGTTCTAAGAACTTTAGGGAAGATTCTCTCTTTAAAATCTAAAGTACAAGTCTAAACAAAGTATAAAAATCTTGATAACTCACGTTAATGAGGTCAAAGCATTTATTCATACCGTTATTTTGCCTCCTATCACGCAGGTTGTCATGCGGTAATGGCCTGTGTGACAAACAAATGTGATCCAAGACCTCCATCATGCAGGCCATCACACGGTAATGACTTGCGTGACATGGTGAACTGCAGCCTCATAAGACTCCATCATGAGATCGGTTACCTCGTGATTGCTAGCATGATCAGCAAAACACTCCTCTGAAGTTCATATCACAAAACTCCTTATCGCGTGGTGTGTGGCTTGAGTAGCAGAACTAAACCTCAGAAGTTGGTGTCACGAGCTTTAGTACCGCGTGGTGTGTGCCGTGAGTAGCAAAACTAAGACTCAAAAGTTTGTGTCATGCCCAAAGTCACATGGTAATGCTTCGTGTGATGATCCAATCCTGCATTCTTCCGAATTTGGCTCCTTTCTTGCCTGTTTTGTCCTTGCTTTGGTCCATTTTGCCTAACAAACACAAAAGTATACAAAATTGATCCTTAACTCAATTTATAGCAATTAGATCGACCATTCTAAGGACAACAATCAAAGCATAAAGCTCCTCCAAAACACCCCACAAACAAAATGAATTTGACACTTATCACATGATTGCATCCCTCTTTGTCCATAGCAGATGAAGGAAGGGCAACAATGACCACCTCCCCTTCGTCCATATTAGATGAAGGAGGAGGTAGCCAATGTCGCTTTCATCATTGTCCAGGATGAAGGTGAGGGCAGTCATGACTGCCTATCTTCGTCGTTTTTTTTAAAATTATTTTTTCCTTTTAGTTTTTTAAAATAATAATTAAAATGAATTTTTATATAACTTTACATGTCATTGCCACATAATTGTCCATGTAGGCATTAACATTTTAAAGTCAATCATATTAAATGCCAAGTCATCAATTTAACTTGTTTACCTAGAGCAACATCTAAAAAATGTTATTTGCAAAAATTTTGCATGTTTAATGGTTCAATTGTACACTTTTTTTGGTTGATGGTTCAACAATACAAAGGTCCTCTGTTTGGTAAAACAGTTAGTCTATCAGTCAATTTTGTCTTATTTGACCACTATTAGATGTTTGACTTGGTTAAACAATCAATATGAGCGTTTGATTAATTATCTTTTTGTAATAACTTATTGTTCCAAAATGTTAAAATTCAAAAAGTTACTCAATCAGTTTTTTTATAAATTCATTTTGTATGTAATCAGCTATCAGTTAACAACTAATTTACCAAACACTTTCTACAAGTAGCTAATACTATAAACTAATCAAACCCACTAACACAATCAGCTAACACTCCTAACAGCTATCAGCTAACAACTATTTACCAAACACCCCCAAAGTATAAAAGTTCAGAGATCTATTTGACATATTTTCTTATATTTTAGTGTGGATACCAATTAAATTAATTGTTATACCATGGACTAGGGTTCACCTTGCATTATGTACCCTAGTCTAAAAATTATGTATATGTCATTAACATATTATTATGTATCTTCCGTTAATAAATTATGTGTCTTTAAATAAATTGAAGGCATATAATATGTTAATTACATACACATACATAATATGCTAACTACAAACATATAATATGTTAACATATTATGTGGGGCCGTTAACATATTATGTGCTTACATTGTAACTAATATATTATATGCTTTTAATTTATGTATATGTATATAATCTGTTAATTGCATTCATAATTTAAATATCATTTTGAACCAGGTTTGGTGATATAATTTGCCCAATTAAATCGAATTCTTATAAGTTTTAAGGAAATGTTGGCCTTATGGGGCCATCACTGATAACAATCGCTCTCAACTTCTTCACCTAGCCCTCACTATTTTGGCTACAACAATGGTCGGGCCACCATCGTTCTTTCGGCCAAAATGATGACCATGCCCACCTCTTCATTATTTATTTATTTTTCCTAAAAAAGCCTTTATTTTTGTACATAATTGTATAAAATTTTAAAATATTAAAATTAAATTGATCAAAATTGAAAAATAATAGTTAAATTAAACTAAGCAATATTACAAGATTTTATTAATGTTTGAAAAAAAATAATATTTACTCAATATATTACGCCTTATATATATTGGGATAAATGATGCAATATAGATAAAATTATAGCAATATTAGAAAAGTACTTTTTTTAAAGCACAATATAGATAAAATTTTAGCAATATTAAAAAGTACCTTTTTTAGCCCAACATTACAATAATGTTATATATGTATTTAACTATTTATATGTGAACATGACATGATTTAATTAGCTATAGGGAGAGCCTACCAATTATAAATACATAGTTATAAAATTTATATTACTTATTATAAACATTTATGAAAAATTATTTCTAAGCAAAAAGAATTTTTTTTTTTTTTTTTTTGGGATATTGAGAAAGCAAAAACAAAAGTAAATCTAATTAAAGGAACTTATTCATTTAGATCATGTCACACCAATAACGTCAACTATGATGAAGAAGTGTGTGTGTGTGTGTTTTTTTTTTTTTTTTAAGTGCCTATTTATTTTACAGCTATAGGAACTAACTAGTTCAGAAAATCCCAAGTTAAAGCATAAATTTTTGTTTAGCTTGAATACATAAAAATAGACAAAATCAATACAAAATCAAAGTATAGAAATTTTGATCACACAACAGTAACAACGTCAATTGTGATAAAGGAAGGAAAAAAATGAATAATCAATTGATTGACAACTATGGAGAACTAACTAGTTCATAGAAGTCCAAGTTAAACACAATGTATGTTTAGATTGAATTTATATAAAAATAGACAAAAAGCAAAACTTAATCAAATTAAAGGAATTTAGATCATGCAACACCAAATTGTCTATTTATTGCAACTGTACTGTAAGGTGTAAGGTCAGAAGATCAATAATTTCAACTCGAATTAATCTCAAACTAAGAGCATCTACATCAGAGGAGAAATTGGGGAGAATTCACTACTTTTGAGGCCAAAATGCCACGGTAGCAGAGAGAGAATCGAGAGAAAGAAGGGGTGGGGAGCATTTGCAAAAGTTGGGATATTAGTCTGCCCAAGAAAAAGAATTAATGATGGAGGAGAAAGAAGCAATAAAGAAATGACATGCTTATTTTTTATATTTTTTTTTATAAAATCAGTTTTGATTTTTTTTTCCCTCCCCTCTCACATTATTCTCTTTCCTACTCACTCTTACATTCTCCCCCTAATATCCCCAACTGATAAGGATGCTCTAATAAAAATAGACAACGGGGGTCATTGGGAGACCCAAGCCCTAAAAATTAATCAGAGTCTAGAGGTGATAAAGATTCCTTGTACACAGAATGTACATGTTGGGATGGAATTAATGACAATCGTTATGATGTGGAACCGCGTCCACCTTGCAAGGTGGACATGGTTCTATGTTGATAATTACTGAACTATATGTTCATAATTATAAAGTTATATATTCATAATTTTTGAACTTCATATTTATAATTATTGAACTCTATATTCACAATTACAGAACTCTATGTTCATAATTACTTAACTATATGTTCATAATTATAAAGCTATATATTCATAATTTTTGAACTTCATATTCACAATTATTGAATCTCTATCTTCATAATTACAGAATTATATGTTCATAATTATTTTCACAACTCTATGTTCATAATTATAGAACTATATGTTCATAATTTTTGAACTATATATTCATAATTATGAACAATTTTGGAACCGTGTCCACCTTACATAATTTGCCAACTAATGACTGATTGGACAACTTGTGATTTATCTTTTCTAGTGTTCTTGGGCAGGGATTCTGAGATTTAAAATTAGTTTAATGTA